CTCTCCATTCCACCACCAGTCTCCCATGTGATCACCAGAGTAACCTTTTGAGACCCCTAATACCTCTCTCGTGGCTTCCCTAATGCACTATGCAATCGTGGTCCACATAGCGCTTGCATCCCTACTACTCCTCCAAGCCCCCATAGTCACCAACTTGACCCCCAACTCCTGCGCTTTAGCTTCCGTCAAGGCTCCCTACTTGATCCTATGTTGACTATACATCACCCTCTTCCTCCTCTTCCTTGTGATCTCAAGGTCCATTACTAGGAGCCTATGAAGGGTCGAAAGGTTCTCACTCGGGATGACCTTACAATCCGTGCAAAGATCTCTATCGGACTTCTTGCGGAGTAAATAATCAATTTGACTCTCAACAACCGAACTCCAGAAGGTGACCAAGTGCTCTCTATTCTTTGGAAAACTCGAGTTTGCTATCACCAAATCAAATGCTCTAGCAAAGTCCAGCAAAGACGTTCCTCCTCCGTTTCTATCTCCAAAACCAAAGCCACTATGCACATCATCATACCCCCAGACATCGCTCCAATAAGACCGTTGAAATCTCCTCCTATGAAAAGCTTCTCGGTATGCGAGATACAACTCACCATCTCATCCAAATCCTCCCAGAAATGCCTTTTGACTTCCTCATCCAAGCCTGCTTGGGGTGTGTACGCACTGATTATATTCAAAGTAAAACCTCCAACAACTAGCTTAATAGTCATCAGCCTATCATTCACCCTCCTAACCTCCATCACTAGTTCACGAAGGTCCTTATCAACCAAGATACCTACCCTCGTTCCTGCCCCCACCCTCCAAGAATACAAAAGTTTGAAACTGCCCACATTCTGAGCCTTATCTCCTACCCACCTAGTCTCCTGTACACAAGCTATATTATTTAATAATACTTATTTTGAAATCTTTTCATAAGAATATCAATTCAATTAACTAAATCTTGATAAATAGTAGATTGATTTTTATTTATTTGAATATGAATTAGAATAAAGAGTTATAACTATTCCATAAAATTCAAATAAGTAAATAATTTATATAAATAAAATTGTACTCATTATTGTGTTACCTCATGTTGTGTTAGCTTAAAAAAATTCAAAAGCTTCTAAGAACTGATTTTCCGGCCTAAAATTGAAAGAACGAAAGCACACGAATTAGAAAATACTAAGTTAAGAACATAAAAAGAAATGAGAAATAGAAGCAAAAATAATAATAATAAGCAAACAAACATATCAAACTATTGATATGGCAAAGTAAAAAGAACAAAAAAATAAATAAATCTAAAACAAGACTTTTTCCATATTAAAGCAACAATCAACCATGAATTATGAATGCACCGCAAAGTAAATAAGAAATAATAAAATCACTAAACGTAACTAAAATTCTAGTTGATAAACACAAATATGCGGTAGTTCCCGTCTAAGAAGGCCCGTGCTTATAGCAAAATAAAAACATAACACAGACAAAATTTCTTTTGAATGTTAGTGTAAATAACTCCAAAGTCTTAATATGAGGATTTGTCATAAATATAGTTTATTATATTCATGGAGAGGTGCATGGAGGCTTTGGTTTTGGGGAGAGGAACGGAGGAGGTACCATGCTGTTGGACTTCGCAAAGGCTTTCGGGTTGGTGATTGCGAACTCTAGATTTCCGAAGAGGAATGAGCATTTGGTCACTTTTCAAAATGCGGTAGCGAAGACTCAAATTGACTATCTCCTCCTCAGGAGGTGTGACAACGGGTTGTGCAAGGACTACAAGGTGATTCCGCGTGAGACACTCGCGACGCAGCATAGACTCTTGGTGATAGACGTTGGTAGTAGGTTAAAGAGGAGGAAACGGACTGCTCGGGCAACACAGAGAATCAGGTGGGGAGCCTTGACTAAGGATAAAGCCCAAGAGTTGGAGTGGCGGCTGTCGGCTACGGGTGCTTGGAGAAGCAGTAGGGACGCAAACACTATGTGGCAACAACAACAGACTGTATAAGGGCGTCTGCGAGAGAGGTATTAGGGGTCTCGATCGGTGTCTCTGGCGAGCATAAATGAGACTGGTGGTGGAATGAAGTGGTCCAAGGTAAAGTGGAAGCGAAAAAGGCAGCATACGTTAAGCTAGTGGGGAGCATATGTGAGGAGGAGAGGCGAGCGTGCATGGAGAGATATAAGGTAGCTAGGAAGGAAGCTAAACTGTCAATCACAGAGGCTAAGACTACGGCTTATGGTCGTCTGTATGAGGAACTAGGGGAAAACGGCGGGGAGAAGAAGTTATTCCAGCTGGCCAAGTTGAGAGAGAGGAAGGCTCGGGATTTGGACCAAGTGAGATGCATCAAGGACGAAGATGGTAGGATACTGATGGAAGATGCCTAGATTAAGAAGAGATGGCAGACTTACTTCCATAAACTTCTGAATGAAAAAGGGGATCGGGATATTGTGCTAGGCAAATTGGAGAATTCCGAGAGTCACCGTGACTTCGAGCATTGCAGGCGTATCGAGGTTGAGGAGGTTGTGGGGGCTATGCGTAAGATGAGTAGGGGTAGAGCAACCGAGCCAGACGAGATTCCGGTGGAATTTTGGAAGTGTGTAGGGAGAGTAGGTTTGGAGTGGTTGACTAGGTTGTTTAATGTTATTTTTAAGGCGAATAGGATGCTGGATGAGTGGAGGTGGAGTACGGTGGTTCCATTGTATAAGAACAAAGGTGATATCCAAAGTTGTAATAATTATAGGGGTATTAAATTACTGAGTCATACCATGAAAGTATGGGAGAGGGTCATTGAAGCAAGGGTGAGAAGGATAATGTCTATATCCGACAACTAGTGCGGGTTCATGCCGGGCCGTTCTACCACAAAAGCTATACACCTTGTTAGGAGGTTGGTGGAACTGTACAGAGAGATAAAGAAGGATCTGTACATGGCATTTATAGACCTAGAGAAAGCATATGCCAAGGTTCCTAGAGAAGTTCTCTGGAGATGCTTGGAGACAAAAGGTGTGTCGGTTCCCTATATTATGGCGATTAGGGACATGTATGATGGGGCCAAGACTCGGGTTAAGACAGTAGGAGGCGACTCTGAGCATTTTCCGGTTGAAATGGGGTTACACCAAGGCTCTGCGCCAGTCCGTTCTTATTCGCCCTGGTGATGGATGTATTAACAAACCATATTTAAGGGGAGGTGCCATAGTGCATGCTATTTGCCGATGACATAGTTCTGATTGATGAGTCACGAGCCGGGGTTAACGAGAGACTAGAAGTTTGGAGACAGACTCTTGAGTCTAAAGGTTTCAAGCTGAGCAGAACGAAACAGAATACCAGTAGTGTAAGTTCAGCACTGAGCCGAGGCAAATGGGTGTGGATGTGAGGTTTGAATCACAGGTTATCCCAAGTAGAGGCAGCTTCAAATACCTTGGTTCGGTTATCCACGGGGGAGGGGAGATCGATGAGGATGTCGCACACCGTATTGGGGTAGGATGGATGAAGTGGAGGTTAGCATCCGGAGTTTTGTGTGACAAGAGAGTGCCAACGATACTCAAAGGTAAGTTCTATAAAGCGGTGGTTAGACCGACGATGATGTATAAGGCTGAGTGTTGGCCTGTTAAGAACTTACATATCCAAAAGATGAAAGTAGCAGAAATGAGGATGTTGAGGTAGATGTGCGAGCACACTAGAATGGATAAGATTAGAAATGATGATATTCGGGAGAAGGTGCACGTGGCTCCCATTGATGACAAGATGCGGGAAACGAGGCTCATATGGTTTGGACATGTACAGAGGAGAAGCCCGGATGCTCCAGTAAGGAGGTGTGAGCGACTGGTTGTGGAGTGCACGATAAGAGGTAGAGGGCGGCCTAAGAAGTATTGGGGAGAAGTGATCAAGCAGGATATGACGAGGCTTCAGATTTCCGAGGATATGACACTTGATAGGAAGTTATGGAGGTCGAGTATTACGGTTGTAGGATAGGAGGTAGCTCAGTCTTGCGTTACCTTGTACTATTGTGAGCCTAGTCTGGTAGAGTTTTTGTCTGAAATAGCTAGGGGCATTGCCGTGTCTTACTATTTTCTCTTTTCAGTGCAGGACCTATTTACTAGCCATCATTTTTGTTTTGCATTTTTCCTTCTGTATTTTATGTTCCTATTTTTCCTATGATCTCTGTGGTGAAACGAATATTCTCTCCTTTTTATTTTTCTTATTATCTTGAGCCGAGGGTCTTCCGGAAACAACCTCTCTACTCCTTTGGGGTAGGGGTAAGGTCTGTGTACATACTACCCTCCCCAGACCCTACTTGTGAGATTTTACTAGGTTGTTGTTGTTGTTGTTGTTGTTATAACATACTTTAAATTTTTTTATTTATAAAGTAAAATGTTATCTTGTTTTAAAGTGTTAAATTTAAGACTTTTTACCTAGTTCAAATAAGGAAAGATTTAGTAATCACAATTTTAATTGTTTTTAATGTATTAAATATTAGGAAAAAATTATAAATGACTATCTTATCTGGTAAGAACTCTAATTTTAAAGCGTAAAAAATCCAAATAATATTTAACTAAGGACTTTCGTGCTTTTAATATAATATAAATAGATAGATTTGAAAAACAAGCCATTTTATTGTATTGTTTTTTCTTTTTGCTGTATTTTGTAAATAAATTTAGAAACAAAAGCCCAAACTAATAGCCTATTTGAACAAGATTTTCCTTGTTTTTCAAAATTGAAGTGTTTGATCAATCTTTTAGAAGAAAAAAATGCTTTTAAGTAGAAGCAGAAACTGTTTTGGAGAATGCAAAAAAATAGTTTAAAAAAGTATTTTTTTGAAAAATACACTTAAAAGTACTTTATAAAAGCTTGGTTAAATACTAATTTATGCTCAGAAGTATTTTTCAAATTAATTAGCTAAAAATAAATTATATCTCATTAAAAATATTTTGGAAAAAAATAATTTTGAAAAGAATTAGTTCTCAAAATAAACTAATTTTAGAATAGTGGCCAAACATGTTATAAATTCCCTATTCCCTAAACCCTTTGCTCTCTTCCCGAGTTCCTGTCAAAAACATCTCTCACTCACCCCAACAAGGAAACCGCGACAATCTATCAGCTCTCTTGCGTTTTGTGAATTCCAACCGGCAACGGGCGACGACTTACAGTGACTGCGTGGGCGACTCTCACGTAAGTTTCTCTTTTCCTCCTTTTTTTTTTGTATTTTTTGATTCATTCTTACACATATGTTCTAATTTAATTTAGTGATGCATCAGTTTTGATATTAAGAATTTCAGTTACTAAGAGACCAATTTTAAAAGGCCAAATTAGGCGTTTCTTGGGAACTTCCAAAAGCATATTCTCAGAAAACTAATTTGACATTAAAATCTCAACTCGTTTAATCATGAAATGGAAGACTACCAACTAAGTTTTAGCAAAAATAGATGGTATCATAGAAGAGATAATTTATGTGGTTACTTGTTCAATGTATTGATGTAAATGAGCTTAATATATTTGCAGGGGCTTGCAAATTGCAAGATAAAATCTAGCTACGTCCAACTTCCGAGGTCGTATTTTCTCGAATTGGTAAGTCTTCTTTTATTTCTCAAAGAATGTTATAGTTATGAATTATGTGGTAGATTCTCTACTTTTTGGTATACTGCTTATTCTTTCCATTATTATTAATAGAATTATTTATTTAATTTATAAAAGATGTTATCATTATGACTTATGATAGACTTACTATGGAAGGATGGTGTTCCCTGTTACATGTTGTTTTTATTTGTGTTGATAGAAGAAATCTGATTTCCCTATTGGAATTGAAAAATTCATACTTTGGTCTAGGTTGTTATTTTCACTTTTTTTTTTTTTGGTGATCGGTTGTCTATGTAAAATGAAAAGATGGATAAATAAACTTAAGTCCAAAAAAGGTGACATGATAATATTATTCAAGGCAGTGGCGGCACCCATCGTCTTAAAATCTTGGGTCTGCCCGCCTTTGAAAATAAGCGACGTATGATAATGTTATGATGGTGAAGAATAGAGTATGAAGTAGTCTTTTTGGGTGATATTTTGAGTAGTAAAGATTAAAAACAATGTATCTAAAAAATTGGTTAGAGCAAGTCATATGTAACAAGAGTTAGATATCTGGAAAGAAAATGAAAACTGTCTATAAATTAAGGAAGTTACATCCTTTTGGTTGAATTTCTTTTTGGAGGAAACTTATTCCAATAAATTCAAAGTAACTAAACTCCAAGAATAATTTCATTAAAGGATATTTTTTGACAGAACATTTTTCGAAAAAAAAAAATGTTTTAATTAAATCAAACAAATATGAAGGGTTTGGCTGTGAAACAAAAATGTGCTAACTCCAGGAATAAAGGATACCTTGAAAGACCTTGGCTGAACTTCATATGTGCAAACAGGGACAGCAGAAGAAAGAAGGAATCAGCAAGCAATGGCAGATTTCACGACATCGACTCATCGAGCCAAGTGGATTTTCACTCCCCAAGAGCTTGTAAGTTGCAATTTTCGTCCATTTAAATCCCTGCCCCTTAGTTCCAATCAACTGTTTCTGAAAATCGTCAGCAGTACTAGGGATCTTTTTTTTTTAATAATAGAATGAACTGTTACTGTTTACAGAAGGACAAGTACAAGGCTGCTAATCAAAGAGCCAAACAAGCTCTAGAGAAGGTATGCTAGCTCTATTTCCGTATGTTTTCTATGTGCTGGCACATGTTTTTTTTCTGTGTAAAGAAATGACTTTTTGTTGTGCTGATAAATTGCATCATTTATGTCCTCTTACTGTTGATTTAAAAGTTATCTTTTTTGCAATGTGCCTACAAATTATTTTTTTTGCAATGTGCCTACAAATGTGTAGTGTATGAACTTCTATATGCGTAGTTTGGTTTCTTGAATCAACCCTGTCCCCTTCTTTGTGCTTTAATTACAATGGTATATCTGTAACCTCAAAACTTTGAAGCATGCATCAGAGGAGTACTTCTACCTTTGAAATTCTTTCACTCACACACAGGTATCAATCGTCCAATCTTCTACAACTCAATTCCAGAAATAAATTGTGGTCGTTTGACCACTTTATTCGGCGTCAAATCATTCCAATACTACACTTATAAATGATTCGCATGAATTTTTTCACAATGATATAGCGGTGTCGTTTTGTTTGCTTCATTGACATACCTGCAAGGATGTATACACTTGCTTATGACATTCTAATTTATAACTGTATGTATTGATCTTGAAGTTCCTTAGATTATACGCTCCCAATATAGGAAAAGCCAAATTGAAGGTTAGATAAAGAGAAGTTGAGTCTTACAGAGGGTATGAGGTGTAATATTGTCTTTTCTTTAACAGGGGCTACAGTGAAATAGACAGTAAAGATTACTTGACCAAAATGTGTCTGTGTAGTTTGACATATCTATGGACTTGATTTATAAACTTAATCAACACTTTTCTTGTTAACTTTAATTTGCTTACAACGCTGATAGCTAAATATGTTCTGAAGTACGGAGCAACCAGAATGGAAGTTGACATCGATGGGTCTTTCTCGTATGCTGAACCTCAAAGTGATGCAAAAGATAGTGGTAAGTTGTTTCTTGCCCCATGTAAAGCAATTTAAACTGATTCAATTTCTGTTGTAAGGCCCTTTTTGTTTTAAGGTAATCACCATTCTTTTCACTGCCTGTTGGCATGTTAGCTGAAAAGCGTCCCAAACCTCTCAAGGTCGAAGAAGAGCAGCTGTTAAGGGCTTTTTATGAGTTCAAAATTCAAGATGTCTGTGATGCTTTTAAGTTCCCACGCAAGATTCAGGTATAAGTTTAGTTTGTTATTTTTATTTAATATGGGTCCAGCACTGCCTTGGTGCTGATTTTAATATAGTGTTGCCATTCTAAAAAAAAAAAAAGAAGTTTATTTTCATGAGTTACAATTAGTGTACATATCAAAAGATGTATTTTTGGTTAATGAATCAGCAACCGTTGATCAACCTATTTGAAGGTTAAACAGTTATCATGTTGCATTGCAGGCAACAGCTCTCATTTATTTTAAAAGGTTTTATCTGCAATGGTCGGTGATGGAACATCATCCCAAAAACATCATGTAAGAAACTCTTAATTATCTCCTGCACCAGGTCTCCTGGATCGAGAGAAATCGAGAGAGAGAGACATCCCTAAATATTGTTGACACTGTAAAAATGTGTTTTACTATCTTCTTCCCAAGAAAGTGGACGAGGTGTTTTATGATATTTGCAGGTTAACTTGCATATATGCAGCTTGCAAGGCAGAAGAAAATCACGTATCAGCTGAGGAGCTTGGTAAGGGGATAGAACAGGATCATCATGTTATACTCAATAATGAGATGCTGGTTCTTCAGGCAAGGATGTAATTTATATGTTATTTCCTCCTACACTATTTTTTTGAATACTGCTTTTATCTGAATTTTTACCTTTCTCTTGCAGAGTCTAGGTTTCGATCTTATTGTTTATGCTCCATATCGTGCACTCGAAGGTTTTGTCAGTGATATGGAGGTCTTTTGTTGATCCACCACTTAACTTTTTGTTGCAACTTTTTGAATGGATTCTTTTTTTAAAAACATAATTACGTTGGCTGTGGTTAAAATCATCTTGTAATAGTTACAGTTTGAGTAAAACTCTCAATATGAAGGAAATTTTGTAAGGGCTTAAATAAAGCCCAATTGGTTATAGAGTATCCTGATAGTTGGTTACTCCTCAATCACACATCATGTCCAATGCAATCTTTGACTATTCTTCTTGAAACTTTAGGAGTTTCGTGGTGCTAATGATGACGACCAATATGAGATGCTAAAGGTAATTGTTATACATTTGCCATACGATTTTGAAAATTTAAATTTAATAGCCTTTGATTTTCTGCTCCTTGTACAATCTGGCTTTAGTGAATTGCATTTAATTAGTGTTGTCGTATTACAATTATTATATTTAAACAACTATTCATTACTGTATTTCTTTTCAACAATGCTGCAACTGTGCTTTTACTGAGTCAAGGGTCTATCGGAAACAACCGCTCTACCTTCACAAAGTAGGGGTAAAGTTTGCGTACACACTACCCTCACCAGACCCCACTTGTGGGATTACACTGGGTTTTTTGTTGTTGTATATTTAAACAACTGAGAGACCTTTTACATTTTGGCTTTGAATAATTGCATTTCACTCAGTGTTGTTCAACAATTAGTCTGGTGATTCGAGGTTTGGGAGTAGAGTTCATGGTATATTGGACATAGAAAAGACATAGGATCATTTCAATTGGAGACATTGTTATACCTTCTTGAAAGAATGGATGCAGGGACATATCAAAAGCTTTCTTTATATCAAGTTTGCAAATGAGGCCAATCTATTCGGAAATCTAAGCATTCATTTGCAAGGAGAACAAAATCATTAATTTGACGGCCTCTAATGAAGGCCAACTGATGAGGAGAAACTAGTTTACCGATGATCCTTTTTAGTCTAGTAGCAAATACTTTAGGAAGGATCTTGTAGAAGCTACCCCCAAGACTAATGGGCCGGAGATCCCAAACTTCATTGTCTCCGGACTTTAGGGACCAAAGTAATAAAAGTAGCATTTAGACTCTTGGGAAGTGTTTGTTAACGGATGAGGTTCAAAACATTAAGAAAATGGTGCCCGATAATGCTCCGAAACTTTTTATAGAAACCCATGGTAAAGCCGCCCGGACCGAGAGCTTTTGTCAAAGACAGAATCATCGATAACACCAATAACTTCCTCTTCTAGGAAAGGTTGTAAAGCCATATTATCTTCGATCGAAATAACAGGAATATTACAATAAGACCGTGAGAGTCACATGGAGTCATCTTTACTGCAGAGTGATTCAAAGAAGTCAAGGATCTCGTCCTTTATAATCACCTCATCTGTAACCATAACCCCATCAATAATAAGGTCATTAATATGATTATATTTACGGTAGGCGTTTGCCATTTGTGAAAGAACTTAGTGTTGTTGTCACCTGTTTTAGCTAAATACTCCGTGACTTTTGTCGCAAAATTATTTTTTCCTGCATGAATATTTTATCAAGGTCCATTTGTAATCTGTCTCTCTACCATTTCATCATCAGAGCGTGTTCTCCATTCTGCTTCATTGTTAAATTTCAGTATCTCTGCAAGGTTAAAGGATTAATCTCTTCTGAGTTCTATACTGTACATCAGAGATTAATGCTTACCCCTCTGGCTCATGGAGCTGCCAACTAGCTAAACTTTCATTTGTTGAACTGCAAGTGTCTTTTACGCATTTCTTTTTGACCTGCGATTTTCGATAAGAGCAATTAATAAATTTCCTGATTAGAAATTTGTAGCATCTTGGACATCAACCGGTACACTACTAATTCAATTGATTTTTTTAGTCATTGCCTCATTGAGTTCTTTCCTTTATATGTGAGATAATGCACTTGATCTGTGTCTGACTCATGGAACTGCCAGTTTAATATATATTCTTTTGGAGTATAGAGAATGCTGGAAGCCGCGAGGATGGAAGCAGATAAGATTATGCGTACAGAGGCACCACTTTTATTCCCACCTGGGCAGGTATTCTTTATCAGTGACATTATCTCGTGAAACTCCTTATTAAAATTTTGTTCAGCATAAACATCTTTATAGATCCCTAGTTGCAGAAGACTGTATTACTAGATATTATCATATCCTTGATGCTGGCTTCACCTTTTGTAGAAAGAAAAGTCCGCATGTTTTCAAACTGGTCATAAATCTTTGATTTATTTTTGTTCCCTTTTTATTTTTCCGGCTTCATATGAAGTACGGAACGGAGAATTCTCTACAGATAAAATTTTCATGGTTGGTCTTCCTAAATTAAATCAACCTTTTCTTTATGGAAGTAATGGATTGGGTACTTTTGCAGAGAAGAATTCTGGCTACAATTTTAAATAGGATTCTCTCAACATTTTGTTGCAACTACCCAGGACTCTTCTGTTGGTTAAGACTTACATTTTGTTCTGTCTGTTGAGTGTAAAGATTTTGTGGAAGCGGGTAGTAAAAACGACGGAGTTTGAGAGAGGAATATGAATTTTCCCAAGTAAATTTTTTTTTTTTAGAAAGTCTTTGTAGTCACTGCATCTTCATACTAGTGTTGCTTGATCAGAATATTGTGAAAATAACGTCACACAAGAACGTTTGGGAAATTGAACTTTTAACAGACATGTAAATTAGCAACTTCCGTGAAGATCAGCACTTTGTGCTTTTGACAAAAGGGTTGTTTGGACAGACTTTGACGGCTAAAACTGAATGTTTATATGATTTGACATTTGAAGCATTTGCAGCCACAGTTGGTACATTACCTGCAAATGTACATCCCAATTTCTTTGTATATGTTGAATTGACACTGTTAAAGAAAGAATAGAAGACTTTTGGTACATAGTTTATATGCTAGTGATGAGCTTTATCAAAAGAAGACTTTTGGCACATAAGCTAAATATGAATGAGACAACAAAACTACCTTGTACCAAAAAAATTTGTTTTGTAATCAGTGGGGCCTAAAGCGACTCATGTTGGTAGTGGCAAANGGAATAGCCCTATCTTGTATATAAATCAAAAAGCAAAAGTACGAAATGTGAAATTATCTAGTTTCTACATATGGATATACAGTGGTCCAAGGCTTTGGTCCAGTGGTAAGAGTGTTGTGCATGCTGTGAGGGTTAGGCACATATCATGGTTTCAAACATTTGCTGCAGACAAAAGCCTGGTATTCAAGTGGAGAAAGGGTAGAGGGAGAAGGACGGACCTATTATGCACCGAATTTCGAACTGTTTGTCTGAAAAAGACGGAAATATGTCAATCCTTTTGGACGGACGAAAAAGGAAAAGTGCCAAACAGATTTAAGAAGGATAGCATTTAAACAGTTATATCAGAATTTAAAAAAAATAAATTATCAGCACATTATATGTTCAAAATGATAAGCTATGTTCTGATTTCAAATTTATTCCAAAGAAGTAACTTGACGTTACACCTGTGGGTACATTCAAGGCCACAAACCTAATATCTTTAGCTCTTGAATGATGTAAATAATCACTAGTACAAGATCAGCCTTTAAACTTCGTTTTTTAGATGTCATTATTTTGAAGCAAGCAGCTCTAATTTATTTACTTGCTTGAGAGGTCTATATTTTGTATCCTGGATGTGAAAACTGTATTGGCCCAATGTGATGCTCCAAAACACTAAGCTGAATCATTTCATTTTCACCTATAAATTTGTTTTTACTTAGCCCTCCCGTTAATTTAAAAAGAAAATACTAACCCCCCTCCCCTCC